GCTTGACTCCCAATGCCCCCCAGCCCGCCCCATAGCCCCGCTGGGCTATAGCAGACCCGTTGACGTAGACGGAGATGTCGATACGGCGGCCGTGGCCAGCCAGCATACGCTGATACGTCTGCTCCGCAGTGAGATTGGTACGCCCGAGTAGCAATCAGGAGTGTACGTGCCGGTTCGTCTGAGTTGTTAGCCCTGCGTCTCCTCTCTCTTAGACCTGAGTGACGTACTTGAAATCCTCGTCGAGACCGGCATCTTCATCGCTGCAGAAGATGGTGGCGGCAAAGCCGTCCGCCCCCAGGTCAAAGGCGGCAAAGTTGAAAAAGGCCACGTCGCGCTGTGGCTGGGTCGGGTTGTGCCATTGGAACTCGGGGTTGCGTCGCTCAATGTATTTTAGCAACAACTTACGCAGCTCCCCGTGCGCCTCGCCTTGCCAGTTCTGCTCGGCTTTGACAGCCACGCCGTTGGTGTTGGAGCCGGGGGCGATGCACGAGAGGCCGGCGCAGAAGGTGTTGGCCGGCGTGGCGCCGTTCCAGCCGTTGCCGCCCTCGACCCACGTGGCCGGCGGAAACTCATCGCACGAGTAGCGCAACTGCGAATACCGCGTGATCTGGCCCTGAGCGTTGCGCTCGTGCTCAACCACGTTGGTCGTCGTGCCCGGCTCCAGCGCCGTCGACCCCCACTTTCCGTCATGCCGCCATAGAGGCTGCTGGCCCACCGCCTCGGGACACGTGTGTGAGTTCTTCCACCCGGGCGACGGGCACGATGCTTCGCGGCGGTAGTACTGGCGTGTGTTGGGCACACCGGCGATGGTATCGCCGCTGTCAAAGTCGTATGTGTACATGTTTGCCGGGATCGACGTTCCGGGATGCAGAGCCTGTCCCCGTGCCGTGGCTTTGAAGTTTTCGACATTCTGGCAGATGTTGGTCATGTAATGGCAGTTGTAATAGATGGTGATTCTTTCAGCCCGAGTGTCGATGACGTTTCGATAGGGCACCGCGTTGTCGGGCGTCGGTCGGCTGCATTACGGTAGTTAGATTGTTGGTCGACCAGAAGGAGAATCCGAACTCACTATTTGTGGCCATCGTACCACGTTGGCGGGTTAGTCGTTGGGTCTTGTATTCGAACTGGCACAAAGTTCTGGAGGTACTGAGCCGCCGCCCGAGAGCTGGGATCCAAGGCAAGCAGGGCTACCGCCAGCCACATGGCATAGCGTAGGAACAACAACGCCATGGTCACTGCAAAGTGCCAGCCAGGCAGACTGTTACTGAAAACGAATGGAACGAGGCACAGGCCGTGATGGAGTGGGCGAGCCTTGGGCTGTTTTCTTGGAGTTCCATGGAAGGGTCCCCTTATATCATGTTGCCGACCTCCCAGTTCTTCTACCGTCTAATCGGCTCCATATCGTTTCCCTCCCTCCAAAGTCGTCAACATAGTCGTCGCCTTTTTTTCGAACTTCGGTTGCTGGATATCCAATTTCACCATCCCCCTGTCTACGTCCCGTTGGGGGCCGTTGGGGGCCGTTGGGGGCCGCGCTCGGTCGCAATATTGAGTGTCATTGACAAGCGTGAGGCTCCTGCGTCTATTTTTGGGACGATATCCAAGAACCGATGTCTGCGTTAATTAAGACGACGGCTGTGGTCTAACACAGTTTCGCGATAGATTCGGAATTCGGATGCAGACTAAAGGGGGAATGTAACATCATTAACTGACATTGAGCACCTCGGGTTCAATGTTGTCGTGAAAATTTCCTCATAACCCAATTGAACCATGTCGGTACCATAGAGCGGAGGCAGAGGAATGGCGGAGCGGGCCAAAGGTCATGCGCTAATGTGATGGGAGAGGATTCCTCCATATATCAGAGCTTGAGGTTGAGATTGAAAATTCCCCGTGGACCACCAGAGTGCTGCTGCTGTCTCCGCCATCGAGCTTGTGCTGTAGACTCTGGGTTACTTGACTTCTAGGTAAAACCGTAAGTCAGCCATGAAGTCCCTTCACCACAATAGCGCCCTCCGGCGCGCCGTCTTGTTCCTCTCTCTTGTTCCAAGTTTGGTGTCGGCTCAGGACGAGTCCGACTGTCAACCCTACCGATGGAATTCCGGCGGGCTCAGGATGCTCCAGGCCGCGGCCGACCCATTACCTACCCAGGGAATCCCCATCCCAGTCACCGTGGGCGAGATCAACTGCCGATACTGGTCGACCACGCCCGCCGAGGTCAACTACTACACATGTTCGCAGCTGGCGCAGCGGTACAGCATCTCCAACGACCTGTTCTTCCAGCTGAACCCAGGCCTCGCGAGCGACTGCAGTGATGTGCAGCCGGAAACGGAGTACTGCGTCAGGGGCTGTAAGTGATGTGCCCACTGCACATGTATGAAAATGAGGGGCGGAAGCTGACTTGATCACAGTTATCGAGCCGGTCAGAGCCTTCGACGGCAAGTGTGGCCCTCCCAACAACAATGCCACCTGCTTGGGCACCGACAAGCAGTGCTGTAACTCGCAGACATGGACATGCGGCAACTCGACGGCCGACTGCGCTCCTGGCACGTGCTACGAAGGCGTCTGCGACGGCGATCTCATCTACAGCACCGATGGCACATGCGGCCAGGACCACGGCTTCCGCTCGTGCGCCGGCCGATGGGGCAACTGCTGCAGCATTGACGGTCGGTGCGGCACGGGGCCTGAGTACTGCGGCCTGTTCACGTGCCAGGAAGGCGACTGCGACATCTGGAAGGAGGACCAACAGCCCGAAGGCACCCCGTGGACCCCCGACGGTACCTGCGGCGGCGCCGAGGGCTACCGGTGCTCGCCCGACTGGGGCCGGTGCTGTAATGTCAACGGCGTCTGCGGCGTGAACCCGGCCGACTGCTATGTCGAGCGTGGATGCCAGCCCGCCTTCGGAATCTGCGCCTCCAACTCCAACTCCACCACCACCTCGTCGGCCACCTCTGGGACCACCTCGTCGGCCACCTCTACCACCTCCTCTACCAAGACAACATCATCCTCCTCCACTACCAAGACGACTTCAACGTCCACGACTCCATCATCAAGCACTCCCGGAACCACCACTGCCCCTAGCACCGAAATCCCAGGCGTATCCAACCTACCCGCGTGTGGCCAGACCTGCTTCAACAACATGCTCGCGCAATACTCAGCCCTGGGTTGTTCCAGCCCGCAGGACTCGTACTGCCTCTGCAACAACGCCGATTTCAGCAACGGCATCCGCGACTGTTCCAACGGCGCGTGCGGAAGCAGCGTCGGCAGCACCGTGATCTCCTTCGGAAGCGCGTACTGCTCCACCGCGTTCGCCACGCACACGGCGACAACCACCGGGCTGGGCGCCCTGCCCTCCTGCGGACAGACGTGCTTCAACAACATGGTGGCGCAGTACTCGGCGCTGGGCTGCCCCAGCCCTTCCGACTCGTACTGCCTGTGCGGCAAGGCCGACTTCAGCAACGGGCTGCGCGACTGCTCCAACGGGGCGTGCGGCGCCGTGGTGGGCAGCAGCGCGATCGCGTACGGGAGCGCGTACTGCTCGGCCGCGTCGGCCACGCACACGACCACGGCCACGGGCGTGGCGGCTCTGCCCTCTTGCGGCCAGACCTGCTTCAACAATATGGTGGCGCAGTACTCGGCGCTGGGGTGCGCCAGTCCCCAGCCGTCGTGTCTCTGCAAGAATGTCAACTTTGGATACGGTCTGAGGGACTGCGCCAACGGTGCTTGCGGCACGGCGGTGGCCCCGACAGTCATTTCGTATGGAAGCTCGTACTGCGCGTCTGCAACAGCAACAGTGACTCCGTCGTGACAATTCTCCGTTAGACCCAGCTCTGGGAGGGTTCGCCGGCACGGGTTGAAGGTGTTGAAGGGGTGACGTGACTAGATTCGGTGAAGTTAAAGGCCACAACTGTGGTGATCATTGTTTTACTGAAGAACTCCTTGAGTCCTCTAGAACAAGCGACTATATAAGTAATACTACCTAGTCCTTCTTGTTATTACTGTGGTCACCGTTGTGTCAATTGGCTCCGAAGGGAGAGAGATCTGTGTCGATGTCGAGACTGGAGTTGAGCCAAAATTCATTACATGCATCGGCTACGCGAAGGTAGGTGGCTAGGGACACCAAAGACCGCAAGTACGAGGTATCCAGACTGGCAAAATGCGTATCGGAGCGCGGACGACAAGGGAGAAATATCGAAAGTGCAAGTATTTATACGGCGTACACAGCAGTGCAGGTACGATGGACGTGACATGGTAGGGCTGTGTCTGACACTGCGCCATACCCGATTAGGAAGGGCACCATTCCTGAAAAGTGCAGCTTAGGCTTGATCCCTGTTGCACATCTCTCGGCAAGATCGTTGATCGGCTCGGCGCATTTCAGAGACATGCTGCCCAAATCCCAATACGCACATGCATCTTGCGACACAACATACGCTAAGCATGCAGTCTCAAACACCGCAGCTTGTCTCAGCTGGGAGCTGGACCGAACGACAACCACTTCGATAACCGGCGACGATGAGCTGCACTTCCTCCCTTTCCGCCCTCCAAAGGCCCTCCCGCTTTGCAAAGACAACAAACATACTGGTCAAAACGAAGGAGACAGTCGCTGAGGCGGGGTTGATAATTCCTGAGCCATCCCCCTCGCCTCGGCCGACGACCTCCGCTGTACAAAGCGAGTCGTACCCTCTCTCTTGTTTGGTTTGCTACTTGCTGCCAAATCCGGGAGACAATATTAACAGGGCCCACTCTCGATCTGGGGCCGGGCTGGAAGCAAAAAAAGCAAACATAGCAATGTCCCGTCAGTTCTTGATAGTAATACAAGATCCATAAACTCCAAGATATAGATCCTCACCATTGACATAATACAACAGAGCAAGGTATTATTCCAAGAGGAAAAGTAGGCCCCAAATACCCTAAACATAGCCAGATAGCCAACTCCCTCTCTCACCCCCTCACCCCCTCATCATCACCAGCCCTCAAGAACCGTCGTCTTGACATACATACCCTTCGCCGGCCTCGACGTGACCCCACCCTTGATATCAATATTGGACTCATCCATCTCCTCCTTGTTATGCAGCTCCATCTTAAACCGCCCCACCCACGTCGCCAACAGACACGCAAACTCGGCCTTGGCAAACGACATACCGATACAGCTGCGCGGGCCGTGCAAGAAGGTCATGAAGGCATAGTTGCTCTCGGCGCCGCCGCTGGCCGCGCGCTTGTCGGCGTCCGACTTGGCGATCCAGCGCTCCGGGTCGAAGACGCGGGCGTCGGCGCCCCACAGCCCCTCGGACCGGTTGATGGCCCACGGCACGAGCATGATTTGCGTGCCCTTGGGCACGAACTGGCCCTGGATGCTGGTGTCGCACGCCGACATGCGCAGCGTCACCGGTACGGGCCCGAAGTAGCGCAGCACCTCGTTGCAGACCGCGTTAAGATAGGGCATGCGGTCGATGTCGACGCTCGACACGGTCGAGTCGTCGCCCGAGAGGGGCGGGAGGTGCTCGCGGACCTCAGCGCGCAGGCGGGCTTGGACGTCGGTGTGCTTGGCGAGCAGGTAGGCGGCCCAGGTCATGGCCGACGCCGTGGTCTCGTGACCGGCGGCGAGGAACGTCATGAGCTGGTCGACGAGGTTTCTCGTCGGTGAAGCCGCCGGATTCCCAGGGCCACCGACAGGATGTCCGGGTCGGACGGTTCCTTCTGTGCCAGCTTCTGCTTCTTCTCCTGGATGATCTTGGCGCACTCGGCTCGGATCAAGTTGGCTGAGACCCCGATGTCTTCGTTACGCTTGACCGGCAACAAAGCAACTAGTTTGGGGGAAATCATCATGCCCAGTAGTTGGAGAATGCGCGCCTGGCGGCTCGGCCTAAAGATACGGGCGTAGGCCTGTGTTAGCCGGTTGTCCGGGTTCTTGATAGCGTCAAAGTCACGACCAAGGCCCGCGACGCCGATGATGTCGAGGGTGACGCGCGAGGCCCAGTTGCCCGCTTCAATGACGGCCGTATTCTTCTCTGCGTCGTTTCGTTGGGCAGCCTCCTTGAGGATGGCTTCTGTCATGGCTTCCACACCCTCCCTTGACTTGGTCCAAAAGACCGGATATATGTTTTTGATATGGCGGAAGGCAAAAGCCGGGAGCAGGTTTCTCCTCTGCGCCTTGTGTTCATCGCCCTCGGCAAGGAGGACGCCAACACCCAAGATGCGGCCGATGGAAAAGCGAAGCGCTTCCGGCTTGATGAATTCGTAGTTCTTGGTGACAAGCACCTCGGCGAGAGCCTTGGGAGATGTGATAAAGAGCCTTTCTTGGTTGAATGGGCCTAGATACCGGATAAGGCCCTTGTTTGGGATGGAATCGATCCTGGATGGGTGGTCAGCAAGCATACCTGCAAGAATGTCTACAAGAAGAGGACTTGATGTTGAGGGGATAAGCAAATCCACACGTACCAGTTCAACATGGGACCCCCCGTGGGGAGTGCCACAATCGCTTTCCACTGACCCATGAACCACGAATTGCCGCTGGGCTCGGGAAGTCCTCGCAGAGGCGAAAAGACCTTCGGGTAGAGTATGACTACCCACGCAGCCCACGCCAGCACCTGGGTGCCCCAAAGGACCGCAAAGGCGGTCAGGAAGCCGGGTGCCGGCCATTGGGGGATTCGGCCTGAAGAGAGGAGGTAGGCGCCACCGAGAGCGGCGGCTAACATGGAGCGGTAGGGGGCCATGATGGGCAGATAGGTCTCTCTGAGATATAATAACGATTTACCAAAAAATAAACGGATACACTCAAGTTATATACGATAGTGAAGACTGACGTTGGCGCGTTGTCGGCCTTAGCTAGTCCTACGTTAGAGTGCAGACTATTCGCGGCACAAAGCCTGCAAAAAGCCTCCGAAAGTATGAACCAACGGAGAGAATATACGGGCTTGGTTCATCCGAGAAGGGTTCGAGTCATCAAGACTTTAAGTTGTCGGCCCAGGCGACTAAATCGCTTGTGCGGTTCCTTCAGCTAGGTAAGTGGATGAAGAGGCCCACTTGGGATCGGGGTTCGCACTCCTCATTAACCATCCTGGGTCGTCTCGAATGGTGTTGCATTTGCGAAGCAGGACACGGAGCAATTCCTGGGATTCCGGCTCCGTGCGCTCGGCCAATGAGCAGGCCTTCCTCGTGGGTCGGTTGAATCATTGCTCCTTGGAACTTTCGTCTGGAACAACAGCAATCGCGAGCCTCGGCAAGACCGGAATCTTGTGTGATTAGTAGCTTCGTAGATTTTGGTGCAAGGAGGCTGTTGTGCGGCAACTTTATCGGCAGATTGAGGGCCATGCTCGCCAACCAAACTTGTCACTCCAGTGGTAGACAATCCTAAGCTTTTGCGTCGGCACTGTCGTGTTTTTCGATTATTTGGTGTTGTAAAAGTATGGGGCGATGGGTTGCGTTGACCGAGAAGGTAGGCGGGGGCGAGAGAGGCCACAGAACACGCTGCGGATCTTTGGAATCGGGTTGTTCCATCTCTGTTGAAGGCCAGAGTTTGAGATGATCGAACGAGCCTGCCTTGGCTTGCTGGCCCAGGTGACGGGGCATTTATGGTGCAATGCCGAAAAATAATATGGAAGTTACTACCGACCCTAGGTTATGAAGTAGCCGTTGATATCCAACGGTGCTAAGCCCGCGAACTAGACAATAAGCCCCGAAAACGATTGGAAACCCTTAATACAGGACATACAAGGAATTAACTGCTGGGTCGACTGATCATCCAAAGGGCGCTGCCAAGATGTCCCCGAAATCGGATGCAACTGTAGATAGGTAAGGATAGCCATTGATAACTAGTTAGTTAGCAGGTCTCCAAACAACGAGAATAGGGGATTACCTATGTTTGCTTCGAGGAGATAGGTAAAACCAGGACTTCTTTCCAAGCAAACAACATAAAGGAACTTGACAACCGAGTAGAGTATACTACCATGACCACCTCCGTTTCGCCTTTCCCCGCACCATTACCGGGTACTCAACCCCTCAACAACGACCCAGTTCTGTCCCTTCGAGAGGCGTCGCGAAAACTGGTTCGGGAATGGGGTTTTCTTCGACCAACCCCCATCCCCTTTCCGCTCTCACCGGCGGCCGTGCACTGCATGATCGAAATTGGCGACTATGGAAGGCGCTCCTTTCCCGACCTCTGCACTGAACTCAAGGTCCCCCCCAGCCCAGCTCTCCCATACTCTGGTCGAGCTGATCTCGAGGGGTATCGTCAGGCGGGAGCAGAACTTGGCTAGCCAAGGGGGTCAAGTTACCGCCGAACAAGGGGAGACTTACACGCTCACCACGGCTGGAGTGAGCGCCCTCGCCGAGATCAACGCCCATGCCCAAGACCAGGTCACCAAAGCACTTGCTGCAGCCCCTCCCGGAGCAGGCGCAAATATCACGGCAGCTTTCCAAGCCTACGCAACTGCCCTAGAACGATCGAGACCCAGCCAGGCCGACATCACCCCGGACATCACGCCAGCAGCGACCCCCGAGCCACAGCTGCCCCAGCCCCCAACTGTCTCCATCGTGGCCGGCTACCGTCCGGGTATTCTCGCCCGCACTCTCGAGATGCACCTGGCCTTTTACTACCCGAGGGAGGGATGGGGCCGCAAGTTCGAATCGGTGCTGTCTACCGGCCTGGGGGATCTGCTGGACCGGCTGGATAGGCCGGTGAACCAGGTGTGGGCGGCTGTTATGACAACGCCGGCGCAGCATCCGGGGGCTCCGCCTCTGGAGCGCACGGTGGGCGTGGTGTATATCGACGGCGAGGCTTATCCCGGGGAGGAGGGCGTGGCGAAGGTTCGGGCCTTTATTAAGGATGAGTCGGCTAGGGGGCTGGGGGTGGGGAAGCAGCTTTTCACGGCGGCTAGGACATTTGATCAAGAGACTGGGATTCGGTAGTGTCGATTAGCGACGCAACGATGTCTGACGGCTGCGAGGAGTCTGTATGAGAGAGAGGGTTTCAAGGAAGCTGGTGAAGTCTGGTTTGAGGGGTTCGGGAACGGAACCATGGAGCTAAGGTATGTGTGGTGCCGAGAGGATGAGCTTGAATAGGATGTTCAATATACTCCCATGGACGATGTCTGTCTCAAATTCATATCCAACCCATAAATTACCACCAGGTATACAAAAACAACCACCCCCCTTCAAAGAACCAACCCCCCAACAACCCCCACCATCCACCCAACCACCCTCCAAACCATCCACTCCACCACCACACTCACCAACCCCAGCCCCACCACAACCACACTCCTCATCTCAAACGCCTCCTCCGCCTCCATCCTCATCAGCTCCCGCTGCTTGCTATGATAGTACTCCCCCGCACCACCCCCACCCCCATCGGAGGCACCCCTCGCACCCCCCGGGCTGTTGCCAGGCTCCGCGGCGGGGCGGGTGGAACTATTAGCGTAGCGATACGGTTGGTAGCGGTACACGACGCGGTGCAGCCAGGGGCGTAGCACGCGGCGGGTGCGATGTCTGTTAGTGTTGGTGGTTGGTGGGGTCTCGGCTGTTAGCCGCGCAACAGGGATGGAGTGGCGCAGGCTGTGGTAGCCGAGGCCACCTCGACCAGGTGCTGAAGATGAGAGTGGTCATTATTAACTGGGTGGGGGTTGGGGATGTGTTAGTTCTAAGGGGGTAAGGCAGTTGTAACTTCGGAGGGGGTGAGAGTGGTGAAGATCGTTTGTGGGGGGGGAGCAGGTGAAAACTGAAACTAGGAGATGATGTTGTGTTGGGAAGTGAACAGTGAAGGCAACTTGCCTTGTAAAGGGTTGATGGCTCCCGAGGGCGCGGGGCATCTCCCTGGTTGGCGCTCACGGGGACTGGCGGCGCTGACATGGTGGTTTCGAGGTATGTTCCGCTTCAATCAATATCCGAGAATTGAAGTAGGAGGGGGGAGCATAGAGCGAACTCCTCGCCCTCCATAGAGTTGCTTAAATATTCAGTGTTGGGTATAAAAGAAAACCAATGCGCTGGCCCAAAATGATGAGTGACGCGGCTGTTGTCAATGGCTGAGCTTGGCTGTGTCTCTTGTAGGCCAATAACGGCGTGAATGAATGTAACGTAATCCTCGCGTCCCCATTAACCAATATCAAATACTGAAAATGAGGGCATTGGTCGGCCTAGGTCTGACACCAAGGGCTTAAATAGCAGCCAGGCAGCCCGGCAGGCCAATCGGCCTCGGGTGCCTTGAGAATTCTGTAGATCTTTGTCTTGGACGTGGCCGTTGAGGCGTTCTGCATACGAGGGGCTTCGAAGGTGTATTCCGTCATTCCCGTTTGGTAGCCCCACCAACCTGTCGATCCCTAAAAAGCACCAAGGATTCAACGGTTTTGGGAATAACAATGGACTTTTTGATTCATCGCTCGCTCTATAGCTTTTGGGAACAAGTAGACCCCTTTCTCAAGGAAGCGCAATGCATTCAATCTCAACGTCCACACCCTTGGGAAGCTGCTTCACGGCGACGCAGCTGCGGGCGGGCTTGTGGACGAACCACTTGGCGTACTCCTCGTTCATGGCCTGCAGGATGCTTTAGTCGGCGACCCGTTGTGTTATTGAGGATTCGGAATAGTCCGTTACTCACAGCAAAGTTGGCCATGTCGGTCAGGAAGGCATTGACCTTGACTACCTTCTCAATTCCTGAGCCGGCCTCCTCGAGGACGGCCTTGAGGTTGGCAATGCATGCGGCCGTCTTCTCCTGGATGGTGCCCTCAACTAGGTTGCCCTCGGCATCGCAAGGGATCTGGCCCGAACAGTAGATGGTAGTGGGGGTCTTGATGGCCTGGGACTGGGGGTCGGTCAGTGTCTGAATTCGGGTTTCACGGCAGTTGAGTGTTCAGGAATGGAACATACGTAAGGGCCGGCAGCTATACGTAGGACGGACTCAGGTCAGCATTCCGGGTATCGCCGTCATAGGAGAGCTAGTAAAGGAAACCTACGCGGTGCTGCGTTCTTAGTGAAAACGGGCGTGGCAGACATGTTGTGTAGAGGGCACAATCTTGGTCGAATGCGTAGTGGTGGTGATGTTTTACTCAAGGCTGCTCGGAAGAGAATTGGGAAAGCTCGTCTTGGGGCAACGGGAAACATGGCAAGTCAATGGCGGGGCAATCTCTCCACGACGCGGTAGCTATTGGGCTTGCTTAGGCCTCCGTCCCGCTCCGTTCTTCGGACCACGGTAAGGAGGGGTTAGAGGCGGGCCAAACCCCGCAGTCCGGGCCGGGCCCGGTACTGTCGGGTGTTTTGTGGTAAGCGCAGTAGCATACGAAGTCAGGCTATTCCTTGCAAGCCGAGAGACACTCATGGAAGGCAAGGGGTGAGATGTGCAGCTCGCTGGAGCTTGGACCACTTCTGGTCTTGGCGGACTGGGGTCTCAATTCAGGGTCAAGCCACCCAAAGGTTGCGCCAGGTGTCCAGAAAAATCGCGAGTCTTGGTGGAGCAGCCAAAGCTGAACACGGTTCCATCCATCAGCCCTGCCATCAGGAGGCTTAAAGGGGGTACGCAATTTATTAATATACTATCCCCAACTCTTCGTTCTTCGCGCGCATCCTTGCCCCATCCATTCTTCATCTTCTCGACTGTCTTTAATCTTTCTTTCGTATCTGCTTTCCATTTCCGGGCGGGTTTCTTATTGATATACCGATTGGGGAAGTCAATCGTGTTTTGTGATTGGCGAGGTATGTCCATCGTGTCCTGTTCCGCTTTGTTTAGAAGCATAAGGCAGGTGTTGTCTTCGAGTTGGCGACTCCAACGCCCCGAGTGTTTGCCTGCAGCTCTCAGGAATGTACACAGTAGGCGCTAACACATCGCCTTCCTTACAGTCCACCCGCCATGGCCTCTACCCCGACGCCTCAAACCACTCTGCGCCAGCGCAATGTGGGCGGCGCCGCCTCGACCAAAAAAACCAAGGATGGAGTCTCCTCAGACGTCGAGCTTGATAAGCTCGTAAAAGCGGTCACCGCCAAGTCCTCTACTGGCTCCGAGCGTGACTTCCAGGCTGTCTTCGTTATTATTACAGCATTGGCTTTCGTCACTCGGTTCTGGGGCATCAGCCACCCCAACGAGGTTGTCTTCGATGAAGTTCACTTCGGCAAGGTACTTACGCATTGTCCCCCGGCTGTCCCATTGTCACTTTGACTAACGTTTGTCTGTCTCAGTTCGCTTCGTACTACCTCGAGAAAACCTACTTCTTCGATGTGCACCCTCCGTTCGGCAAGCTCCTCTTCGCTTTTATGGGCTGGCTCGTTGGCTACGATGGCCACTTCCACTTCGAGAACATCGGCGACTCCTACATCGTCAACAAGGTCCCCTACGTCGCCTTCCGCTCTCTGCCCGCCATTCTCGGCGCCCTGACCGTCTCCGTCACCTACTTGATCATGTGGGAGTCCGGATACAGCCTCCCAGCCTGCATTGTTGCCGCTGGCCTGGTCCTGCTCGATAACGCCCACATTGGCCAGACACGCCTGATCCTGCTCGATGCCACCCTCGTCTTCGCCATGGCCTGCAGCTTGCTCTGCTACATCAAATTCTACAAGCTGCGCCACGAAGCCTTCTCGAGAAAGTGGTGGAAGTGGCTGATCCTGACCGGTTTCGCCCTATCCTGCGATATCTCAACCAAATATGTCGGTCTGTTCGCCTTCATCACCATCGGCTCTGCCGTCATCATTGATCTCTGGGACTTGCTGGATATCAAGAGACCCGGAGGTGCTCTAAGCCTGCCGGACTTTGGCAAGCATTTCGCTGCCCGTGCCTTTGGCTTGATCATCATGCCCTTCCTCTTCTACCTCTTCTGGTTCCAGGTCCACTTCTCTATTCTGACCCGCTCCGGGCCCGGAGATGACTTCATGACCCCTGAATTCCAGGAGACGCTCAGCAACAACGTCATGCTCCAAAACTCGGTCACCATTGACTTCTACGACACCATCACTCTCAAGCACAAGGAGACCAAAGCGTATCTCCACAGCCACGCGGACCGCTACCCTCTTAGGTATGACGACGGCCGCGTTTCCAGCCAAGGCCAGCAAGTGACGGGCTACCCTTTCAATGACACCAACAACCACTGGCAGATTCTCCCTGCCGGCGCCGATGACCAGAAGCTGGGTCGCCATGTGAAGAACCACGACCTCGTGAGGCTCCGTCACCTGGTTACCGACACCATTCTGCTGTCCCACGATGTCGCCTCTCCGTACTACCCCACCAACCAGGAGTTCACTACCATCTCGATTGCAGACGCCTACGGTGACCGCGCTGCCGACACCTTGTTTGAGATCCGCATTGAGCATGGCAAACCTAACCAAGAGTTCAAGAGCGTCTCCAGCCACTTCAAGCTCATTCACAACCCCAGCAAAGTGGCCATGTGGACTCACACCACGCCGCTCCCTGAGTGGGGACACAAACAACAGGAGATCAACGGAAACAAGCAGATTGCTCCAAGCTCTAACGTTTGGCTCGTCGATGACATTCCGTCTATTCCGGCTGATCATAAGCGCCGTGAGAAGGTGGAGAAGAAGGTCAAGTCTCTCCCCTTCCTGAGGAAGTGGTTCGAGCTGCAGCGGTCCATGTTCTGGCACAACAACCAGTTGACCGCCAGCCACCCCTACGCGTCGCTGCCCTTCCAGTGGCCGTTCTTGCTCCGCGGTGTCAGCTTCTGGACTCAAAACGACACCCGCCAGCAAATCTATTTCCTCGGCAACCCTATCGGTTGGTGGATCGCCAGCAGTGTCTTGGCCATCTATGCCGGTATCGTCCTGGCAGATCAGTTCTCTCTGCGCCGCGGCATTGACGCCCTGGATCACCGTAAGTCAAAAGAAAAAATAACACCCCCTTTCTAGTTGACAGTTGACTGACTTTGCCTAGGCGCCCGCTCCCGCTTATACAACTCAACCGGCTTCTTCTTCCTCGCCTGGGCCACCCACTACTTCCCCTTCTATGTCATGGGCCGTCAGCTGTTCCTGCACCACTACCTCCCCGCCCACCTGGCCTCTGCCCTCGTCACGGGTGCCGTCGTCGAGTTTGTCTTCAGCCAGGACTCCATGGAGCACGAGGTGCTTCACCGGGCCGCTAAGGCTGGCAAGAGCACGGGCCTACGCAAGCACCACCTCACTGCGCGCGAGCGGTTCGTCGGCCAGAGCATGCTGCCGTCGTGGATTGCCACGATTGTCATCCTTCTCGTCGTCGCCGCCAGCTGGTACTTCTTCCTGCCGCTGACCTATGGCTTCCCCGGCCTGTCGGTCGACCAAGTCCTGAGGAGGAAGTGGCTAGGCTACGACCTGCACTTTGCGAAATAGGAAATCGCAGGGTGATATGGACAAGTCTATTTGTAGCAATGAAGAGTGTAAGATTTCGAGGGATGGGTGAAAAGTCAACAAGTTGTAACCAGTCCTGTTTTATGGTGTTCTGGGTAGCAAGTCAAGGGAGTTACGGGAGCCCGCAAACCACAGACATGATATATCTACGATAGACAATGAAGGCGCAACATTCCCGTCGAGTTCGGATTCTGGATATCTGATTGTTTCCTTGATTGTATTTTGAGGTCGATGGATTTACCCCGAGTGATCTGTCCTCAAACGCTCTAGAATACGTAACTCGAGTAGAATATCCCCATACATAGGCACTGCCGCACAGAACCCAAGACCTACCTCGTTTCCGCCCTTGACGTCGCTCATACACCGACCCGTTCGTCCCTTGGTATCAAACCTAGAACAGACACTTCAAAACAAGTCAGCAAACTTGCCTCAACCAACTCAGCCAACCCCAACCAACAACAAGAACAAAAGTAAAGACAGAAAGAAAACAAAGCCCTTCAGAAACCCAGTTTTTAAGCACGACCAACCCCACCGTCCAAAACCGCCCACCTCTCCACCCCTCCAGGCCCCAGCCCCGCCAGCACATGACGGTGCAGGCGTTTTCCTCTCTCAAATAAGAAAAGGAAGCGGGCAAGGCACAGGAGAGAAAGAAGAAGCGGAAACGGCCGGCCAGCCGAGGAGGGTTTGAAAATACCCCCGGGGAGGTTCAGACGGCTCTTCCTAATAAAGTATATGAGGGTTGCAACCGGCGTTGCGTAGATCATCATGGTATGGGCTTTGTTTTCTTTTTTGGTCTCCGGAGGGCGGAGAGAGAGAGAGCACCGACTTTCTCGTTAAGAGAGGGGGAGTGGTGGGAGGGGGGAGGGGGACGGGGAAGAAAGGAGGCGGATGGGTGTGCGTGCGTACATACCGTGGCGTGGGGAGCTCGAGGGGGGCCGGAGGCGGACGCGCTGCTGGAGAGTTGCTTCATGAACAAACAACGCATGGCTTCATTCGTTGATCGGGGTCAATTAGACATGTCCTCGATCGGAATGAGCCGCTGGGAAACTGGCAGCCCGCCGCCGGCCCCTTTTTCGGCTACAAACACGTCGGGTCGTGGTCCGTTTTGATGGAGGAAACTCTGAAAAGTTCGAGGATGCCGCAGGAACCCGCTTTTGACGGAGCAAAAATATTTTGGTCGAGCTTCTGCGTACCCACAGTTACGCACGGTCCGCATTCCTCCGCAAGAGTCCCCACTCCCGCTTTTGGGCTGGCTTGTATTATACGTCACGTTCGTTGGGGTAAAGTGGCCACAAGAGAACGGGCAAAGAGTCACAAGATGGAGGAGAGGGATCGAGACATAGGTGTATGAATGGCCATCATTGTTGAGAGGAATCTACCTAACACTCGAGACCAGATTACATGTCTCCCAGCTAGTTCTGGAAACAATCCAACCCATTCCGCCTACTCCTCCCACGTAGAAACCGCTAGATATGTAAAGCGAGAAGCAACCGAGATAAAAACACATAAAATCAATAGTTGGAATAAACATGAAGACGGTCGAACCGTGTGTTCGCTCGGCCACCGCGCTACCCATCTTTCCAAATCGTTACTAACCCTCCCATTCACTCACTTCATTAATCATGACAAATTGCAGCCCTGACTGCACCGGAAAGGAAGAAAAAAAGTCGCAGGGCAGTTGCGCAACTACGACTGATTCAATTGCAATTCCGAGTCAACGTGTATTTTTTTTTAGGCCTAGCCCGCATCTTAGTACCTGCGGGTAAGTTAGGCGCTGAGGGTTTCATGTGGCGGCCAGTCAACGTTGAAGGCGTTCAGCAAGTCCTGAGATGACGGCTTGGCCGTGGTTGGCAGTCATGCCCGGAAGATCCGTGGTCGCAAAAAGAGACTCGTTGAACATTGGCTTCGAGACTCCCACCGTTGGGGAACAGAATGAAGTCGCCGCTCGTTTACGAGCATTGGCGATGGCGGCAAACTCGTTGCGGTCATCAAAGCCCTCGTCGACTTCAGCAAGAGAGTTGGGAGTGTAGAGCATGGTATTCCCCTGGCCGATCGGCGAGAGCTGCGCAGGCTGAGGGCTGGCAGAGCTCGGCGGCAGTGTATGACATAAATTGGTGGGCCACCTCCTTGGAGTAGGCGTTGGTGAGGAGGGGGGGAGGAGTGGGCAGCTGCACACGGGCATTGTAGATGTCGTCATACATGGAGAAGTCTGTCCCGATGTCTTGGTATGCCGAAGTGTGGTCCATCCCAGAATCCGTCGACGGAGTCGGGTTGTCAACGGGCGAGTAGTCAAGGGATAGCTCCTGGGGGTGGGGGATCAAGCCGAAGTCCGCGTCATTGGGCATGTAGGCGGGGAAATCGAGACTGCTGCCGGGGTAAACTGGGCCCCAGGTGTCTGGGGGGGTAGCAACTCCCATGCTGTGCTCGCTGGACGGGGTGGGAATGTTCTGGAGCTGCGGAGTGGGGTGAGCCGAGTTGCCGTTCACGCTGGAGTCCTTCTTGCCGTTGGTCTTGGTGCGGACATAAACCCAGCCGTGGGCCTTTTCCATGTGTTGCTTGCAGTTGGACTCGCGTTTCGACTTGTACGGGCACGGCTTGAAGAGGCACTCGTACATGGGCGGGCTAGCCGAGTGCTTGTCGTTGTTGTGGCGGTCCATCTCCTTTTCGGTTGGCCACCCATACTCGTGGTACTTGCAGGTGGGAACAGGGCATTTCCAAGGGCGCGAATGTGTCTTCTCGTGCTTCGTGAGGTCGCAAGGGCGCTTGAACTCCTTGTTGCAACCGGGCTCGCGACACTTCTTCGGCGCAAGCTCCTCGGGGCTAGCATTCTTCTTGCGCCTAGCCATAGAGCGCATGATCTCCTCTTCATCCTCGAGCTCCTGACTGGCGGAGCGCTTGAACCGCACAGTGCCGTCGGCTTCCTCGTCGATCTTATCAATGGGCTGACCAGTCGCCATCGAGATCATCTTGCCGTTCTTCTTAACGCGAACAAGTTCGGCGGGCCGTCCGTTGATGTGGATGCCTCCGTGGAGCTTGATCTCGTCGGTGCTGGAGGCTAAGTCAGCAAGGCGGGCTAGATCAGAAGGGATAAGAGAGCCATACGGGTCAACATCCATCTCGTCCTGGTTCTCCTTAGCGTCAGCAAGTTGCTGGGCGTAGTTCCGTATTTGATCGACAAGGTCGACGAAATATCCGCTTGTGTACGGGACGTCCCGGGGGCGGGTTTGTTCCCGGTCGCTCAGGTACTCAACGGTGGCCTGGATGCACCGAATGGTGGTGAGGCAAAAGTCCAGGTACAGTTCGGAGGACTTGGTCCTTTCCTTTAAAAGCAAGACACGGTAAGTATCTCCCTTCAAACTTTGGTCAGCCAAGAGCTCACTTACTGGAGCAACAAGAAGCAAGGTCTTTTCGAGATCCCTCAGGCAAACAATCTGCCTCTCTTGGATCTTCCTCGGGCACTCGAGAAGAAGCGGGTGGAAATCCTTCAAACCGGAATTGGCGAGAAGGGGCTTGAGAGTGTGCGCGTAGATGCGGCTCGTGGCCCGAGGGCTGAGGCCGACGGCGCTCGCCGCGGTGGCAGAACGGGCTGCAGCCGACCTGGTAACCGCCGTTGTCCGGCCAGCCTTGTCCTTCTTGGCGACGGCGTCCTTGTCATTGGTAGAAGCAATCGAGGTTCCCAACCCGCTATCGGATTCATGGAAACGAGACGATCGGCGAGTACGAGGGCGGAGCATCCGGCGCTCGGCCGGCTGCTCCTTGACCATAACCGAGTCGAGGGTGTGGTCAAGGACGCCTCGCGGCAGCGGGAGAATCTCGTCCCGGAGGGTCTTGCGGCCGGGAGAGAGGGGCGCGTCGTCGTTGCGAAGGCCAGCAAGTGTCTTGTCGATATCGCCGAGGGTCAAAGCAACGCGACGGCGATGAGCATCGATGACATCGTCCAGGTTGGTGTGTGACCGACGAGGTAGCGAAGGCGGAGTGAAGACTGGTTCGGGAGACTCGAGCGGAGTAGTCGGGGAGTGGAAGGTCGCACCCTTCTTGAGGACCACATTGGTCTTAATGCTCAGGCCCCTCGAACCGGATCGAGTCACCGGCGTTCTGCGTGGATTGGACGACATGGTTGCTGGTATGCGCGGGGTACGCACAAGGCTCTGCGACAATCGGTGGGCGGAACACTGTGTCCAGTCTCTCAGGTCAGCTCTCAATGTATTCATTGTCCCGCCGAGCGGAGATGAGAGCGTGAGTCACAGTCGGCCTGCGACACCGAGAGTAGGTAGGATCCTTTCCAGCAACCCACTGGAGCACAGCGGCGATGGGCAGGACTTGGAAATCGTGCCCAGAAACGAACGAATTCTGACGAAAGATAATGGGACTCGACTTACCAGGCCTGATAGAGGACAAGCCGACGAAAGCCAGGGACCCCGAGACGCGATGGAATCAAGACCAGGCGAAAAGGCGTCCTGCTAATGATGGTTGGGATAAAGCTCAAGGCGCCGATGAACCGTCGTGTTGGGCGGCAGGAAAGATGGGGGACACACAAGTCCTCTAACACTGGGGCAAAAAGGGTTGCGGAGCCTCGACCGTCTGGTCTGAGCGCGGGATTATCTGCAAGAGGTCGATTTGAATGGCCTCAGGTGCAAAGAAAAGGGAAAGAGTCGGGGCAGGCGTGATGAAGGACTCGGAAGAAGGAGGTTTGTCGCGACCGGGCGCCAGAGAGATGATGAGAAATGCGGTGGGCTTGTCGGACGCTGCTGCCTGCTCGGGCAACCGGGGTTCCCAGTAAGATGTGGGTCCCCTGGCGGGCGCAGCGCCGGATTAATGGCCACCCATTGGCCAGGTTTAAATCCTTCCAATTGTGCTCCCAATGGCGCGCTATTGATAGCGTCTGTTGGCTGGAAAGTCCCTGGACCTGGTGTCTCGGCCGGCTGCGGTCCTCTCAATTGTTAAGGAAGGACGCTCTACAGATGCAGAGCTGCCCTGCGTAGCTTGGTGTTTTACCCAAGTACTCGGCTAGCAGAGCCAGTGTCTCCTCCGTCTTCGTCCCCAGATTTTGGGAGGTACCAGGACAAGTCGCTTGGTTCTCCAGCATCACCTCTCGCGAGCTGCAGTCTTCGAAACGCAAGGTCGTCTTCTCTGAAGGCAGACAGATTTCGACTCTCGGATGTGACGAAACAAGAAGAGCCGCGCGGGGGAATGACGAACAATTGTGATGCCGATGATTCTCTCGCCCGAGAGAAGAGACACGTCAACCATCCGACCTGCCCGCCGCGCCGCAACTCGCGGCTCGTTGGCGCGATCCGGGCTGAGGCCGGGACCTTGTGCTCTCGGTTGCAATGAGCTCAGAGGGCCATTTTGATGACGGCCCCCACCACGGCCACAACCTCGCCTGCAACGGTAGCTCGGGGGCGGGAACGGCGGACCTGATGGACGTGTGGCGAAGCTGCTTCCCTTGGTGCAGCCACTTTTTAATACGACAACGATCTGGAACAACGAGTGTTCTGCGTGCAGGGTCTTCCGCGATCGACAAGTGTATCGCGACTGTTACTTCGTAGATTCCTTCCCTTCCATCATCTTCCTGCGAGTCGTGGGGTGTTGATAACTACCTAGCAGCGGAGGCGATTCAGAGCTCCCGCCCTCACCATGGATGCCATATGCTCAAACCACCCCTAATCTCGCTGACACATCATCGGATAATTAACTACCTATCTGTGCTTGCGGTCCCCGCCCCCCGCGACCGTTTGTTTCCGGTGGTGAGAACGGGAAAGGGGCCGAGAGAAAAACAGCTTGTCCTCACAGTGAGATCTGTCATCTGGTGCTCTGGGCAAAGGCGGCACAATAAAACGCCCGAGACCTTTCCAAACGCTGGCGGCAAACCCTAAATACGCAGCGGCTGTCATGTTGTGGCTCGGACCAGGAGTCAAACCAGTGAGGGAGCCGGGATAAGACGATTGCCCCAACCACCTGAAGCGTCTCTGATGCAGCCCCCAACCATCCACCGGAAAGTGCTGTTGGGGTGAAGGGGGACGGGGGCAGTCACCTCGAGAAGCGGAAAGAAACGGGCTTGGGTTCTCACGGTTCATTCCCCATCCGGCATGCTTCGGCCAAAGAGACGGCTGCCACAAAACAAAAACAAAACGGACATGCAGTCTGCAGTCATCTGCAATGTTTGTATTGTACCAAGGACCGCAGCAGTGCAATGCATGCCAACCATTTCCGGGCTGAGGACGGCGATTTGTTGTGGCTTGGGAGAGGCAAGTACCCCCCTCTCTCCCCGCAGATTGGCGATCATGCACCACCCACCCACGGAGCCAACGGCGATGGGCCTCGAGATTGGCCCAAATCTGATCGGTCGTGTCCTTGTGTCCCTGCAGCTCCCCAGCTCCCCGCCCTCGTAGGGCTGGCTGCTGGCTTTGGGTGTTTGGGCAGGGAGGCGGCATGCATTCGTGAGGTCCTCCCACTGCTCTCCCAAGACCAAACAAAGAGTCTTCATCCACTTCATCGCCCAACAAATTCCACCCAAGTCAGTCCTCGTGCAGGAGAAGTTTTCTCGGTTGTGTTCTACAAACCACTCATTCATCAAGAAAATCACCCCATGCATTTGCCAAGCGGCCGTTCCCCAATGTGAAGTCCAAGATGGCAACCGAGAAAACAGCCGGCAAAGACCACGTCGCACAGCACTGATCTCGTGCGTCAACCCAAGAGGAGAAGGGAGGGGGGGGGACGCACCTCAGCCCTACGAGGAATTGCTACTTCCGCTCTCCCGCGAATAGGATTGCAGAGAATTAGAGGAGCCTCAATTCAAAGTAAGTGCCTGGGAGAGGAACGCAACGGTGCGCGGCACAAGTGCGCGGCCACTGTTCCAGCGCTTCCCTCCCCTCCCCCCATTCCCAGGCACCTGAATTCTTGAGCCGGCCCTTCGTTGGTTTTGTGTTCCCAGACATGATGGGATGACTTTTACACCCACAACCTTAAATCCCGCGACACGCGTATGTACCCACTTGGGCAATATCTCGCCGATACCATTTCACTCTATCCGCCCGAATGGTTCTTGAGCTAAAAAGCGGAATCGGTAAGGCAACGACAAAATGTTCTGAGGGGGATACTTCAGATGACATCGAAAAAACCTGATGGCCCTGGTACCTCGTACCCTCTAACGATGGTGATACATTCGGATGGTTTTCCCCGATCGTGTACCTCGATAGTCGTATGTCATATTAGGTAGCCAAGCAAGTAGGACTTTGCCTCGCAGAGCCTCGGTGACCTTGTTGGTTGTGCCGGGTCAACCCTCCATCTATCACCCAGCTTCCAATAGCCCCCCGCTGTGTGCCCCTTTCTATTGCTGCCACTATCACTACCCGTTCCCTGCATTCCGCAAGGGAAAATGGGGGGGGAGGCAAAGGGTACTAAATAGTTAAGGGACATTTCTCTAACTTTCGGTGGCCCGTCGTCGTTCCCCTTGATGAAATATCCACGCAGTGCCCCTGGAATCCTTGGAGGTCAAATAATGGTCGAGGGAAATGGGAACGTTTCCCTATGTTCTTCAGACCCCACGTCGGTTAGTTCAACTCCTCAAACTTGAGCCGTCTGGGACCAACACGTAGTAGTAGCCTCCATTCCGGTTGGGAGGCCAAGGGGCAATCCCTCACAAAGCAGGTGAAGGGTACAAGAAACTGGCATGGTATAAAGGGTCTCGTGGGTTCCAAATCGAGTCATCTGCGGGGATAGGAGTGCTATCCACGGCTAGGTAGTCGAGACGGCGAGTTTGTGGGCTGGCAGGTTTCGTAGCTTGCTCCACGGTTCCCAGAATTTGACTTCGAGCTGTGCAGCGCTTCGCCATCAAAGTTACCCGAATGCACGATCTAGTAGATAATCCTTAGTTGTTCTCTCGGCCAACAAGGGGTGTCATGATTGTGTCCCGCTGGAATGGTTGGGTTCTTTGTGAATGGCAATCTGCGATTGTTACACTCCTCACCAAAGACACAAAAAAGAGAGAATGAAGATATTAAACTAATTGGGTACGCCCGACCGCTGTTCCAAGCTGAGTTTTGTTCAATATAACTTGGATTTGGTTGAGCAACCCCGTTGCCTTGTGCAATGACATCTACTTCTTCTTCCGATCATCTGCTTGAAGCTGTTCTGGAGACAAATAACCACCTACAGCTCGGATTTACGAGCGAGATGCGCCCTGTTCTATGCCAACTGGGATGCTGGGTAACTCGTGAAGGTGCTGACAACGCCACGGTGATAGTTCGGCCAAAAGCTGCGAAGTCCAAGGACGTCCCCTTGTGTTTGTCTGACCCTCCTTCCGCCCCCCTCCCCCATTTCCACGAGGAAACGAGTGCTCTCATTAGGGGTGATTTCTGGGTTATATACAAGCTCCCTCGCGTAAAAGCCAAGGCTCTGAAGAGGGCTCGACGGTCGGCATCCCGGGCAGTACACCTGGAACAGAAGGATACTAGCTCACCGAAGAGCGGAGGTGAGTTTATTTCTCGGTTGACGGAACGGAGCCAGAGGGTACAACAGCGGATCCTTCTGGCTCGAGAGATACCAGGGTCGGCGGGCCAGAGGCAACAACGAGGCGAGTTTGTCGCCCGGAGCTAAGAGGCGCTCCTGTTCAATCATGGTGCAGCACGAGATACACCAAACTGTTACCCAGGCCTCGGTGGGCGGTACGGGCGCTACGGCGGGACTTCAAGCCGAGCACCACCAAAATCGGCACTGCGATAACAGCCTCTGGGCCGCT